ACTGAACTAGAACTGAACTAGAACTGAACTAGAACTGAACTAGAACTGAACTAGAAACTGAACTAGAACTGAACTAGAACTGAACTAGAACTGAACTAGAACTGAACTAGAACTGAACTAGAACTGAACTAGAACTAGAACTAGAACTGAACTAGAACTAGAACTGAACTAGAACTAGAACTGAACTAGAACTGAACTAGAACTGAACTAGAACTAGAACTGAACTAGAACTGAACTAGAACTGAACTAGAACTGAACTAGAACTGAACTAGAACTGAACTAGAACTGAACTAGAACTGAACTAGAACTGAACTAGTACTGAACTAGAACTGAACTAGAACTGAACTAGAACTGAACTAGAACTGAACTAGAACTGAACTAGATCTGAACTAGACCTGAACTAGAACTGAACTAGAACTGAACTAGAACTGAACTAGAACTGAACTAGAACTGAACTAGAACTAGAACTGAAACTAGAACTAGAACTAGAACTGAACTAGAACTAGAACTAGAACTAGAACTGAACTAGAACTGAACTAGAACTAGAACTGAACTAGAACTAGAACTGAAGTAGAACTGAACTAGAACTGAACTAGAACTGAACTAGAACTGAACTAGAACTGAACTAGAACTGAATTAGAACTGAACTAGAACTGAACTAGAACTGAACTAGAACTGAACTAGAACTGAACTAGAACTGAACTAGAACTGAACTAGAACTGAACTAGAACTGAACTAGAACTGAACTAGAATGAACTGAACTAGAACTGAACTAGAACTGAACTAGAACTGAACTAGAACTGAACTAGAACTGAACTAGAACTGAACTAGAACTGAACTAGAACTGAACTAGAACTGAACTAACTGAACTAGAACTGAACTAGAACTGAACTAGAACTGAACTAGAACTGAACTAGACTGAACTAGAACTGAACTAGAACTGAACTAGACTGAACTAGAACTGAAACTAGAACTGAACTAGAATGAACTAGAACTGAACTAGAACTGAACTAGAACTGAACTAGAACTGAACTAGAATAGAACTAGAACTGACTAGAAACTGAACTATAACTGAACTAGAAAACTGAACTAGAACTGAACTAGAACTGAAACTAGAACTGAACTAGAACTGAACTAGAACTGAACTAGAACTGAACTAGAACTGAACTAACTGAACTAGAACTGAACTAGAAACTGAACTAGAACTGAACTAGAACTGAACTAGAACTAGAACTGAACTAGAACTGAACTAGAACTGAACTAGAACTGAACTAGAACTGAACTAGAACTGAACTAGAACTGAACTAGAACTGAACTAGAACTGAACTAGAAAACTGAACTAGAAACTGAACTAGAACTGAACTAGAACTGAACTAGAACTGAACTAGAACTGAACTAGAACTGAACTAGAACTGAACTAGAACTGAACTAGAACTGAACTAGAACTGAACTAGAACTGAACTAGAACTGAACTAGAACTGAACTAGAACTGAACTAGAACTGAACTAGAACTGAACTAGAACTGAACTAGAACTGAACTAGAACTGAACTAGAACTGAACTAGAACTGAACTAGAACTGAACTAGAACTGAACTAGAACTGAACTAGAACTGAACTAGAACTGAACTAGAACTGAACTAGAACTGAACTAGAACTGAACTAGAACTGAACTAGAACTGAACTAAACTGAACTAGAACTGAACTAGAACTGAACTAGAACTGAACTAGAACTGAACTAGAACTGAACTAGAACTGAACTAGAACTGAACTAGAACTGAACTAGAACTGAACTAGAACTGAACTAGAACTGAACTAGAACTGAACTAGAACTGAACTAGAACTGAACTAGAACTGAACTAGAACTGAACTAGAACTGAACTAGAAGAACTAGAAACTGAACTAGAACTGAACTAGAACTGAACTAGAACTAGAACTGAACTAGAACTGAACTAGAACTGAACTAGAACTGAACTAGAACTGAACTAAACTGAACTAGAACTGAACTAGAACTGAACTAGAACTGACTAGAAGAACTAGAACTGAACTAGAACTGAACTAGAACTGAACTAGAACTGAACTAGAACTGAACTAGAACTGAACTAGAACTGAACTAGAACTGAACTAGAACTGAACTAGAACTGAACTAGAAACTGAACTAGAACTGAACTAGAACTGAACTAGAACTGAACTAGAACTGAACTAGAACTGAACTAGAACTGAACTAGAACTGAACTAGAACTGAACTAGAACGAACTAGAACTGAACTAGAACTGAACTAGAACTGAACTAGAACTGAAGTAGAATGATTTCTTCTAAAATATACCACCCTAATAGAATTTACTTGCAACATTCTCTGGTTTTTATAAAAACTCAGCTGGGTAACTGACCTTTTTTCCTGTGGTGTTTCTACATACTTCTCGTATTGTGTAAAATATTTTATAAAAAAATAAAAATTTCATAGAATTTGGAGTTTTTTTTTTGTTTTGCATTGCATAAATAATAAATAAACTGCAATGCAACATTGTGGCAACAAATTTAATATTGTTCCACATTCTTTTTTGCTTCATTTATTTTACATATATGTATATGAAGTATCCTTTTTATATTAGGGAAGTGTTTAAATATTGGAGTTTTTCACGTTTAAGTTGACAACTCTGGTACCAAACAAACTGGGAACGAGAAACTTGTATTATGATTTTAAATTCGAATTATAAATAAGCACCAACCTAATGAAAAATTTTTTTTCTTCTTTTGTCATGTATACAGACATATGTATGTATGTATGTATGTATATGTATATATGTATGTATACGTAAGCATTTTTTGCATTTACAATGAGTTTAGCGATTTGTATTTCTTTTTGCTAAAGAAATAATAAAAGAATTGTCAATTATTATCGAATTATAATACCAAATATGAAGGACTCTTGACTCTTTGTTTATCAATTGATCATATGGGACCACATACTATTATACATATAGTTATAGAGTGGAAAGGAAAAAAATTGTATTTTATTTAAATGGTTCTTTCTACAAAGGAAATTTCAATGCTATTAATGTATAAAGAAGAATTTTAAAATAGTTGGTGTTGATTGTATAAGAATTTATAAGAGGGAACTTTTTGGTACTTATTTGTTCCTAAGCTGGTACTTTTTTGTAATCTATATATATAAAAGAGTAGCGTTACTGACTGACTGATTCATCATCGCACAGCCCAAACGGCTGAACCTAGAATCATGAAATTTTAACAGTAGATGTGTTTTTGGTTATGTAGATCCACTAAGGATTTTTTGAAATTTGTAAATTTACGGGTAAAAAGGGAAAAAAAACGGGTAAAACAGGTTTTCTTAATTATCTTACACAATATTAGTGATACAAAACAAAAAATTTAATTGCACATGTATCTACTCTTAAAATGAGCAGATGGGTGTTTGGTACTTTTTTGAAATTCGTACTTTTAAGGGGTAAAAATGTGTAATAAAGGTGATTTTGGTACCTTTTTTGGCCCTTTATAACTTTTGAACTAATTAACATAATAAAATTTTTATAAATATTTTGGATACATCTCCCAAAATTATGAGACACCTGTTTCGTACTTTTTTAATATTCAGTCCTTTTTGGGTGTAAAAGGGGGAAAACTGCATTTATGGTACTTTTTTTAGCACATTAAGAAAACTTTTTCGGTTTATTGAATTATTCCTATTAAATTACGGACTAACTCTGTAATATTTATTGTAATAAAATTTTTGCTTTATCTCTGGGGAAAAAAGTACTAAAAAGGGAAAAAACAGGAAATTCATTGAGCCAATTTTTATAAAATTTGAAAGAGTAGTTTATTTATTCACACAAAATAAGCTGTTGGTATATTTTTTTGGAATTCGAGTACCAAATTCGAGTAAATTGTTTGGTACTTTGAATCGTTTGAGTTTTATCTGTTATATATAGATTTAAATACGGAACATTTTGTAAACTTAATTCTCGAAAAAGTATATTTCTAAGCGAAAATGTTAAAAATTGTACTCTTTTTATTAGTACTTTCCACTTAGGTAAAATTTATTCCACTTTTGGTACTTTTTCTTCTTTCAAATGATATTCTTTGTATGTTCTTTAATATGAACTCAAAACACATATTTATTAAACATACACGGTCCTCATTGAATAAGATTTTTTAAGAGAGAACTTTTTAGTACTTTTTATCTCATAAATTGTACTTTATTAATTTTCTAAAATATTCAATCTAGGAAGATTAATTTTGGGAACTATTTGGTACTTTTCTATTCTTCAAATGGTACCTTTTAGATTCTTTATAATGGTTAATCGGAACACACGGTCCTTATTAAATCAGAATTTATTGAGAGAGATTTTTGTACTTTTTCGTTTTTCCGATGGTACTTTTTGATATTTTTTCGATATTGAACAGAGATAATGAAAATAAAATTTAAAATGTAGGGACCTTAGTGAATGAGAATCTACTGAAAGGGACTTTTGGTACTTTTTCATTTATCAAATTATATTTTTTGAATTGTATATAATATTGAACAAAGAAACATAAAATTTTTGATTAAATGATAATCTATTAGAGGTATTTTATAGTACTTTTTTTCAAATAGTACTTTCGAAATTTTCTATAATGTGTAATCTAAATGAATGAAACTAAAAATACAAGTTTCTTACTGAATGCGAATTTAATCACGTAATATTGAACGTATAAAACTGAAACAATAAAAAAAATATTTAATCAATTATAATTTTTTTATAAAAGTAAACAAAGTGTTGTACGTATTTAATTTAAGTTAGGGTAGCGAAGCACCCAGGGTATGCTAGTATTTTAGTTAGACATACGGAAAGATGAATGAATGACAATGTTCAAGAGTGGACTTTTGGGTACATTTTTAGTATCAACCTGGTACTTTTTGAATTTTCTATAATATTGAACCTATATTTTATATAATAAATATAAAAATTTCTAAATTAATTAAGAATATATTATTTTCATTACAGATTCACTCCAATAACAGGCAACGGATGTAAATTAAAACCAATTCGTTTAAAAGTAAACAAAATTTTAACAAAAATTACATGATAACAGTTTCTACATAAAATTAAATAAAAAAAAACTAAAATTAAACTAAATAAATATTACGTATACGCCTTGGTAAAGCTAATATTCAAATATAAATAAATAAAAATTTTCTTTGAAACTATAAAAAAGAAACAAATACAACTGTAAATATTATAGAAATTAAAACAAAATTTCAACGAATAATAAAAAGAGTATTGACAGTAAATAAAATAAATATTTTATTTGAAAATTAACCAAACAAACTTTTAATTTTTAATAAATTATTATTGTATATTTAAAAAGAAAATAAAAAAATTCCATAAATTTAGTCTGTGATTAAACTGAATTCGAATTAAATAAAACATTAAACTAAATAATTTAATTAAAAAAAAAAAAACACTAAATAAAACTACAACTCAATATATAAATTTAAATAAAATAAAAAAGATAAATTTAAATATTTAAATATTAAATAAATTTAAAAGAAATTAAAAAAGCTTTAAAACAACTTATTATTAATAAATATTATTTAATATAAAATATTAAACAAAAAAAAAAAAAAAAAAAAGAAAACTTATATAAAATAAATCTTCCATTAAACTAAAACCAATAAAATATATAAATAAATTTAATAAAAATTCTTATTTAAATAAATTAAACAAAACAACAGCACTTAACAGTAACAAACTCAAACTAATCAACGAACTTATAACAAAACAAAATAACACTGAAACCCGGAAACTAAAATAACATAATTGTATAGTTAAACCTCTAAGTCCTTAAAATAATAACAAATTTATAATAAAATTTTGTTTGTGAGTTAAGCTTAAAGCCTTTAAAATATAACATTTTCAAAAATTCCCTTAAAACAAGAGAAATTTAAAAAAATCCTATTCCCCTCAAACTGCAAACAAATATTATACGTAATTTAATAAAAACAAAAACAATAAATAATTAAAACAAGGAAAAAATTTCATTAAAATCTACATACACAGACACACTACTACCAACACGCCAACAAAGGGGGAAACCAAAACACAACAAACAACAAAAACCAAACTTCATTGTCCAGTGCGTGCATTAAAACAGCAACAGCTACAACAAGAACAACAATTGCAAGTAATAAAACAAAGCCATAAAACTACACAAATTAAAATCCAAATTGTAAAAATAACAACAAAATATTTGTAGTAGTCTTTAAACGGACAAAATGGATGAACTGCCAGATTTATCACATTTAACACCCCATGAACGAATGCAAATTGAAAATGTACTCAGGCGTCAGAAACAAGAGGAGGAGCAGCAAAATGAAATTATGCGGTAAGTTAATAATGCTTTAAACACAAACAACATAAACAAAAACATACACAGATACACACATAAACACATATGGACATGCAACAATACTCAACTAACGTCCATGCTGTGGTCTCATTATCCTATACTGCTGGCTAAATTAAGGCCACTAGGACAAAAAGAATTAAAATCTGTGATGACTTGTATATCCTACCAAAACTCGATTTTTGAGTGAAAAATAAAAGTCAATTTTCTGGCTAAACTATAAGAGCTAGAGCAAAAACAATGAAAATATGTGATCACTTTTATTTCCTACTTAAATTCGATTTTTTGAGTGAAAACATAAAAGTCCATTTTCTGGCTAAACTATAAGAGATAGAGCAAAAACAATGAAAATCTGTGATCACTTTTATGTCCATTTTCTGGCTAAACTATAAGAGCTAGAGCAAAAACAATGAAAATCTGTCATCACTTCTACTTCCTACTTAAATGCGATTTTTTGAGTGAAAATATAAAAGTCCAATTTCTGGCTAAACTATAAGAGCTAGAGCAAAAACAATGAAAATCTGTGATCACTTCATAAAAGTCCATTTTCAGGCTAAACTATAAGAGCTAGAGCAAAAACAATGAAAACCTGTGATCACTTCTACTTCCTACTTAAATTCGATTTTTTGAGTGAAAACATAAAAGTCCATTTTCAGGCTAAACTATAAGAACTAGAGCAAAAACAATGAAAATCTGTGATCACTTCTACTTGCTACTTAAATTCGATTTTTTGAGTGAAAACATAAAAGTCCATTTTCTGGCTAAACTATAAGAGCTATAGCAAAAACAATGAAATCTGTGATCACTTTTATTTCCTACCAAAATTCATTTTTTTGAGTGAAAACATAAAAGTCCATTTTCTGGCTAAACTATAAGAGATAGAGCAAAAACAATGAAAATCTGTGATCACTCTTATTTCCTACCAAAATTCGATTTCTTGAGTGAAAACATAAAAGTCCATTTTCTGGCTAAACTACAAGAGATAGAGCAAAAACAATGAAAATCTGTGATCACTCTTACTTCCTACCAAAATTCGATTTCTTGAGTGAAAACATAAAAGTCCATTTTCTGGCTAAACCATAAGAGATAGAGCAAAAACAATGAAAATCTGTGATCACTCTTATTTCCTACCACAATTCGATTTTTTGAGTGAAAACATAAAAGTCCATTTTCTGGCTAAACTATAAGAGATAGAGCAAAAACAATAAAAATCTGTGATCACTCTTACTTCCTACCAAAATTCGATTTTTAGTGAAAACATAAAAGTCCATTTTCTAGCTAAACTATAAGAGATAGAGCAAAAACAATGAAAATCTGTGATCACTCTTACTTCCTACCAAAATTCGATTTTTTGAGTGAAAACATAAAAGTCCATTTTCTGGCTAAACTATAAGAGATAGAGCAAAAACAATAAAATCTGTGATCACTTTTATTTCCTACCAAAATTCGATTTTTCGAGTGAAAACATAAAAGTCCATTTTCTGGCTAAACTATAAGAGATAGAGCAAAAACAATAAAAATCTGTGATCACTCTTACTTCCTACCAAAATTCGATTTTTTTAGTGAAAACATAAAAGTCCATTTTCTAGCTAAACTATAAGAGATAGAGCAAAAACAATGAAAATCTGTGATCACTTTTATTTCCTACCAAAATTCGATTTTTTGAGTGAAAACATAAAAGTCCATTTTCTGGCTAAACTATAAGAGATAGAGCAAAACAATGAAAATCTGTGATCACTTTTATTTCCCACCAAAACTCGTTTTTTTGAGTGAAAACAAAAAGTCCATTTTCTGGCTAAACTATAAGAGCTAGAGCAAAAACAATGAACATAAAAGTCCATTTTCTGGCTAAACTATAAGAGATAGAGCAAAAACAATGAAAATCTGTGATCACTTTTATTTCCTACCAAAATTCGATTTTTTGAGTGAAAACATAAAAGTCCATTTTCTGGCTAAACTATAAGAGCTAGAACAAAAGCAATGAAAATCTGTGATCACTCTTACTTCCTACCAAAATTCGATTTTTTGAGTGAAAACATAAAAGTGCATTTTCTGGCTAAACTATAAGAGATAGAGCAAAAACAATGAAAATCTGTGATCACTCTTATTTCCTACCAAAATTCGATTTTTTGAGTGAAAACATAAAAGTGCATTTTCTGGCTAAACTATAAGAGCTAGAGCAAAAACAATGAAAATCTGTGATCACTCTTACTTCCTACCAAAATTCGATTTTTTGAGTGAAAACATAAAAGTGCATTTTCTGGCTAAACTATAAGAGCTAGAGCAAAAACAATGAAAATCTGTGATCACTCTTACTTCCTACCAAAATTCGATTTTTTTAGTGAAAACATAAAAGTGCATTTTCTGGCTAAACTATAAGAGCTACAGCAAAAACAATGAAAATCTGTGATCACTCTTACTTCCTACCAAAATTCGATTTTTTGAGTGAAAACATAAAGGTCCATTTTCTGGCTAAACTGTAAGAAATAGAGCAAAAACAATGAAAATCTGTGATCACTTTGATTTCCTACCAAAATTCGATTTTTTGAGTGAAAACAAAAATGTACATTTTCTGGCTAAACTATAAAAGATAGAGCAAAAACAATGAAAATCTGTGATCACTCTTATTTCCTACCAAAATTCGATTTTTTGAGTGAAAACATAAAAGTGCATTTTCTGGCTAAACTATAAGAGCTAGAGCAAAAACAATCAAAATCTGTGATCACTCTTACTTCCTACCAAAATTCGATTTTTTGAGTGAAAACATAAAAGCCCATTTTCTGGCTAAACTATAAGAGATAGAGCAAAAACAATGAAAATCTGTGATCACTTTTATTTCCTACCAAAATTCGATTTTTTAGTGAAAACATAAAAGTGCATTTTCTGGCTTAACTATAAGAGCTACAGCAAAAACACTTACTTCCTACCAAAATTCGATTTTTTGAGTGAAAACATAAAAGTCCATTTTCTGGCTAAACTGTAAGAGATAGAGCAAAAACAATGAAAATCTGTGATCACTCTTACTTACTTCCTACCAAAATTCGATTTTTTGATTGAAAACATAAAAGTCCATTTTCTGGCTAAACTATAAGAGATAGAGCAAAAACAATGAAAATCTGTGATTACTCTTACTGCCTACCAAAATTCGATTTTTTGAGTGAAAACATAAAAGTCCATTTTCTGGCTAAACTATAAGAGATAGAGCAAAAACAATGAAAATCTGTGATCACTCTTACTTCCTACCAAAATTCGATTTTTTGAGTGAAAACATAAAAGTCCATTTTCTGGCTAACTATAAGAGATAGAGCAAAAACAATGAAAATCTGTGATCACTCTAAACTATAAGAGATAGAGCAAAAACAATGAAAATCTGTGATCACTTTTATTTCCCACCAAAACTCGTTTTTTTGAGTGAAAACAAAAATTCCATTTTCTGGCTAAACTATAAGAGCTAGAGCAAAAACAATGAAAATCTGTGATCACTCTTACTTCCTACCAAAATTCGATTTTTTGATTGAAAACATAAAAGTCCATTTTCTGGCTAAACTATAAGAGATAGAGCAAAAACACGGAAAATCTGTGATTACTCTTACTGCCTACCAAAATTCGATTTTTTGAGTGAAAACATAAAAGTCCATTTTCTGGCTAAACTATAAGAGATAGAGCAAAAACAATGAAAATCTGTGATCACTCTTACTTCCTACCAAAATTCGATTTTTTGAGTGAAAACATAAAAGTCCATTTTCTGGCTAACTATAAGAGA